AAAGCGATATGTTGAAGAGATGCTCAGGAAAAATGGTATGCATGCAGCAAATGGGGTTTAGACCCCAACCCCTTTAAGAAAATATGAGGCGCACAGAAGCGACGAAGACGAACGCATGCTGAACAAGGAAGGACATTCAAAATATCGCATGGTAATTGGAGAACTACAGTATCTGGCGATTTGCACTAGACCAGACATTTCTTTTGCCGTGGGATTTCTCTCAAGGCATTTTCATGCACCAACCGCAAAACATTTGCAGATGGCCAGAAGAGTTCTCAGATACATTTCTGTAACAAGATCGAAAGGCATTTTCTTCTCTAGCAACATTGTGACCAAAGATCCCCTCGAAACGTACGCAGACGCTGACTGGGCCGGAGACAGAAGCACATGTCAGTCCACAACGGGATTTGTCATCAATTTTAATGGCAGTCCGGTGCCCTGGAAGAGTAAGCGCCAAACCGTAGTGGCATTGTCATCTGCTGAAGCAGAATATGTCGCTCTGTCTACTTGTGCGAGGGAACTGGTCTGGGTGCGCAGACTTGCCTCGGAACTTCAGCACGTTAGCCCCTACGAAGAAGAAATGGAAATGTCGAGGGCCGTCGTATACACCGACAACACTGCAGCCCTTTCCTTCGCTACTTGTAAACAGATTTCGACGAAGAGCAAGCATGTTGACGTGAAGTTTCACCACATCAAGAATCTGGTCTTTGAAGGAAAATTTTCTGTTGAATACGTCTCAACTACCGACCAAATTGCCGACCTTCTAAGAAAAGCAGTTGACAAAGCAACCTTGGAATGACTGAGGCCAAAAATAATCTGTTTAGGAACCGGGGTCGATGAGTGTCGCGTGCAGCAAAAGACTACTGTATTTAGTCGTCTGAGAACCGTCTTACTGCTTATGCAGCGACCCCTACCAAGAACTCCGGGGAATTATCGGCAGCCAGGCACACCGCGACAACCCTCTTAGTCAAGTTTTGACCCCCTCAATTGGATATCCGTCAAGGCATTTTTGGTGCAAGAGGGCAAAAATTCATGTTACTTATACCCACAATTCGAGCAAATTATATTGGTCATTTTACTTTTCCTGGGCAATGCCGAGTCAAATCGAAAAATTGCGCATTGCTGGCGCCTGAAAAATTGTGTCCAAAAATTCAAAACAGTGATCGTGGTACAGTTGGCAATTTGCGGAATTTTAGGCGAAAGTAGCTGAGTTCGATTACTAACATTTACGAACCAGGTGTTGAGGAGGTTTGTGAGAAATCCCTGCCTATACAACACCTAGAGAGCCCGCGAGGGGCAAAGTCGGGTCCGACTATAGGGACCAATATGACAAACACCTAAGCACGCCGTGCAGGACGAAACCGTCTTTGAAGGTTATTCCCCCGTCGCCGTGTAAGCCGGCGGGAGTCGCCGGCGGGCGACGGCGGACATTTAATTAGGGTTATTGAACTGCGCGGCGGTATACCAAATAAACGAGACCGACCGGGCAAAATGCTGAGGCCCGGCAGGTAAGGATCAACCTGATCAGTCTTCACTATTTTCACACAACTTCCCGGGCGATAACGTAATTACCTTTCGGACTGGAAATTGGCCAATGCCGTATTCGTCATATACACTCGAGTGTTCGAGTACAGTATGTACACTGGTGGACACATGGCGTTATGCCACAGTCCCAGCACCTTGTCCGAATGGAAGCGGTTCCGGGAATTATTTGGCGTAGCCTCCATCATTTGTGCCCGGCTTCTAGTCTTTCTCAGCCATCATATCCCAATCTCGTCTTGCCCGTTCACCTTTTTTGTTCACCGCTTTTTGTGAAGGTGTATGACATTGAGAACACTCATCGTACCATTGCCGGAGTAGACGCAAAGACGTTCCGGAAATGGTCGTAGTGCTTTGCTCATCTGCTTGCAGACCTTTAAATTGTTCATTTAAATTCTTTCCTATCCGGGAACACGAAGTTAATATGCGTCCAATACACGAACCTATTTCGAACTGGCAAAATATATAATATATTTGATTTCGTTTCATGTTATGGAAGCTAAACTGGCACGATAGGTTTAGGGGATCGTTATTGAATCCACAAAGTCTCTGTAGACAGTACAGACTTCCATATCGACGAGCGCACACCATTCAGCCCGTAACAGTACTCCCAAAAATTAAGTGAACTGGCTTGCGGTATGAAGGAGCCATGTATATCGCTACAGGGCACATCATCTCATCGTTTGGGCCATTTCCATGTAACGATTTCCTAGATCTCGCCAAGTCTCGGCTGCGTATGAAAGGTTTATTGCGTTCTAGGGAGAGAGTTGTGGGTCAAGGTGGCTAAAAGGACGATAATTGTATCCTTGGAGCTGATGTGGTGCGAGAAGATGAAATGTTACTGGCCAAAATTCGAGCGCAAGAAGAGACGGTGAATTGACGTTTCAATAACATTTTTGGTTTGGGAGATCGTTTTAGTCACAATCCCTCCCAATATGCAGTTTTTTTAGGCGGTTGCGAATGTTACGCAACTCATGCTCGAACGTGGCAGTCCGCTATTTCAGATGCAGTATATAGAATAAAGGGTGCTGTGGTTTGATAATTTTATGGATACCAGAGCAATATTCTGGTGCTTATGAAAGATGTAACATACCACTTTGTGCCCCAAGCGCATTGATACATGCAGGTTACATTTATTTCATTGGCGGTGGAACGTTTGAAGACAATATGCAATTATAGAGCACTTTCGGGGTTTCCTACCTCCCGCAGTCGACTCGTCTGCTTAGTAGCTATCATCATATTCAATTAAAGGCCGAACATTCTCTACAAAATGAGCTATGAAGTGACAGACGACAAGGACAGACTGTCCAGTACACGGTCTGTCAACAACAGTTTTCAGGAGACGCGACTGTGACGAAGAGTAAGACCACCCCATGAGGATTAGGATTCATGAGGTTATGGCCCGCTTCGCATCACTGCAAAACTCAACGACAGCCTGACTTGAAACTAGATCGCGCTACACGCATACGCAGCGGCACCGCAAACCCAAGCAACCGCCGACCCCCTGCGCACCGCCAAGCCGGAACGGACAAGGCATCCCTATGAAGCGCCGAAATTTGTGCACACTGTAGTGATCGTTAAAATTCAGGTTACGGATATGAGGTCAAGCATGGCCTCATATAAGGCCAGCTTTTTTTGCAAATATTTTTACATTAACGTTGTCTGTAAAATAACGCGTTGTTTTTTTCCATTTGCCCACAAACTCGCTGGACGAAAAGTAAACCCGAATTTGAAATATTCCACCACGAGTTTTGCGGACTGACATCCAGCAAGGTACCTGCCCGCAACAAACGCAAGTCTGGTACAGTACATCGTTGTGCCGCGCGACGGATCACGTGCACCTGCGCGAATACCCGGTGAAGCGAATATTGTAGCTCGCCACAAGGATAGAATGGTTCTCAGTCGAAAGAGCGATGTGTTTTCGTCTTCTTGACAGGCTGAGGGGGTCCGTATGGAGAGGACCGCTTTTTAGAAGCTACTACTGTACTGGCTATCTTTCGCAGTTGCTTCGGCGGCATCTGTGGCAGATTCTGTCGCGCTTTCATCCATTGATGGACTCTGCACAGATGAAGCGATAGGGGCGTGTCCATGACGCATATCGATACGACCCGTGCAGTCTGAGGCTCGTTTGTGCTGATGAAAAGAACGGAAGACCTGCTTCATTTTCCGTCAAGACGGGTCCATCCGGCACTGCTGTGATGAGGCGGATGTGAAACTAGTGGAAAACTGTTTGAAAATTTTGCCTTCAGAAAATCCGAGCAAATTCGCGGCCAAAACACGTGTTTTCGTGACTTTACGGACAACCTCATTAAATCGAAACTTTATAAAGTCAGTTTGGACGCCATTTGTTTAGTTTGAACCTTAACGTTTATGCCCTCAGCAAAATATCATCTTTCAAAGCATTGGGAAAGCAGTTGTGAATACACAGAACGACTAAGTTTCCAATGAAGCTTCATTTCTCGGTTGACATTTTAAACCGGCCTTTTTGGTTTCGAAGATATCTTTTTTAGACATTCTAAAAATGGCTGGAAAAGACGTGCAGATCTTACCAAGCTCCACTCTTCCGCAACGCAAAAGTCAACTGCGCGGTGGCGAGAGTATCTTTTTCCTTCTTTGTTGAGCAAGCACAAGCCCAGAAAAAATATAAGTTGAAAAGTGACCTCATATGAGGTCACTTATCGTCTAGACACTAGGAGTGGCCTAGGAGGGAGGCGTAGAGGTTCGAAGGCGTGAAGATGCATAAGTGATGTTTGAAAATTGAGCCACCAAGAAGGGTACCTCAAATAAGCGGCGATACCTCCGTCTCTGCAAACAAGAAACGCATTATGCAACTATGTTCTCACAGATCAAGCACACTCAGGTATTCCCGTGCCCGCCATAAAAAATAGGGGAAGGCATATGCCGCGGCATCCACGGAAGACACGAGCGGGAGAGAGAACAAGAGAACTGCGTCTTATGTGGATGTGACCTTATCCCGTATTGATGCTGTACGAGGAGGACATACTTCTGTGTCTCTTGCAAACCTAATGCCCGTTGACTCCAAGGAATATCCACCCTTTTTCTCGGTCGCCGTTCCCTCCCTCCGCGACCGCATCCCCTCTCCGTGTTCCAAGCCCGTGTTCCAAGCGAGGCCCGGCTCCGCCGCACTGACGCCACATTTACCCACGTGGCTTGCGGCGGTGGTAATGTTACAAGGGTATCGCATATTTTCAGAGATCACTTATGCGCCTATCATATTTGGCGCGAATATCAGAACACGCCATAGATGGCAGTGTCAACACATGACGCTTGTACCGTACCAATACATGTACTGTATGGGTATACACACTTGTAGACTCTTCATAGTATGAACTTCATAGTATGAACTTCATACCTATATACCCTTCGAAGGGTATACGGCGCGACCCATTCCGGCACCCTCCAGACACATCTTCTTCAACCACGAGAGGACAACTCCCACAATGCCACACCTCCTCCCCTCGGTCCTCCTGCTCGTCCTCGTTGTCGTCCTCCCGGTCGCATGTTCGCAGCCGTGCGGGCGCAAGTGCCGCTTCCGCCTCTGCCCGCCCGGCGGCGCCCCAACGCTAGGCCTGCCGCTGCTTTTGCGGCCGCCGCTCGTGGCCGCGCCGGGCCCGACGATCTGCCGCGGGGCTGAGCGGCTGGGCTACGTTCTCCTTGTGGGCGAGGCGCTGATCTCCGTCCCGGGGCGTCGCGCAGGGGTGCAAGCGATCTCCGCGTGGCGCCCGGCGCGCGCGGCACAGGGCTTCAGCCGCTTCTTCTTCGGCGTGCGGCGCGTGCGCGCGCTAGGGCAGAGCGTGGTGGTGCGCGGGCGCGCGCGCGGGCGCGCGGCCGAGGCGCTGGACGGGGTGTGCGTGCGCGTGCCGGTGCACAGGTATGAGGTGGTGCGCGGCGGGGGGAAGCGGGTGCGGGTGGAGACGCAGAGGCGGGGCGAGGACTGCGTGGCGTTCGTGGCGAGCGTGCCGCGGCTGCTGGTGGAGCTGAGCTGGGAGGGCCAGGGGGACGACCTCGACTTGGCCGTGGTGACGCCCAGCGGAGGCCTGCTGTCGCGGTTTAGGGAGGCGGATGAGAGTGGGGGCCGGTTTGGAGGGGATGTGGAGGCCGGGTGTCGGGGGAACGGGGTCGGGAACGAGGTGGTGAGCTGGGGGAGAGGAGCGCGCGTAGAGAGCGGGACGTACTTGGTGCAGGTGAGGTTGTTTGCGGTATGTGGGGGATCGCGGTGGACGTTGAGGGTGAGCGCGGGGGATAGGGTCAAGGTGGTGAAGAGGGGGAGGAGCGGCGGGCAAGAGGTGGGGCTTCTGGGGGAGATTCGGTTTGTGGTTTAGGGCGTCAGGGCGAGCGTATCGTACTCTTTCTACGAGAAAGCAACAACGACTCCAGGGGGCGGGCTATCTACTTTAGGTACAAATAAAAACAAAACAGGACGTTGACTACACACAAATGTACACACACATACACGGAGATGGGAGGAGGTGTCTCACGCGGCGATGATGGAGACGGGGTTCTCGACGAGCGGGGCGGGGTCTAGTCTGGGCAGGGGTGGGTCGGGCGCGGCGTGGTCGGGCTCGCAGCCAACGCACGACTCGGTGCCGGCGCAGTGGGCGCGGCAGCGGAAGCAGAAGGTCGGCAGCACGATGCGGTCGCACGTCGGGCACACGCGCATGCGGTGCCGCGACCACAGCTCCGAGTGGCTGCCCTTGACGTGCGGGCAGCGCGTGCACGCGCCGCGCTCGTCGAAGCAGCTCGCCGACACGGGGTACTGCGGCGGCCGGCGGCTCTTGCAGCGCGTCACGGGCGCCGCGGGCGTCACTTGCTTGGCCATGGCTGTGCGGGGGGGGTGGCGGCCGGGAGATGGGGAGAGATTGGCGTGTGCGGCGGGGGAGGCGGGGGGCACTGAGCGGGTGAACGAGTGAGCGGAAGAGCGAAGGCAAGTGCGGAGAGAGGGAGCGGGTGAGAGTGGTGATTCTGTGTGTGACCTGGGATCCTCACCCCGAACACCCCCGCCCCTGCCGCGTGCGCCGTCTCCTTTTATGCGTCTCGGCGCGCCCGGCGCGCGCGCCGGCACATGCGCCGCGGCCCGGATCTCCGGCGCGGATCTCCGGCGCAATCTGCGGCGCGCGCGGCGCACCGGCGCGGACGGGCACAATCTCGGGGGCGGGTTGGCCTTTTTCGCCAGCGCGGCGCAAAAAGGCGAGAGATATTCGGGCGAAAGCGCGCGCATCGCGAGAGCGGCAGCGCGCGCGTGGCGAAGGCGCGCCGCGTCGCGCCGAAGG